TTTCTGAAGAAGGGTCTAGGCCCGAAACGTCAGCCTTCCTGCTCCTCTGATGCTGCTTGGCCTGCTGTGTTCATCCAGCTCTACACCTTGTTATCTCAGATTCTCCAGCATCTGCAGTTCCTACTATCTCATCCACAGTGGGTATGTGTAGGGTGATGACTTTTTTGTGTGTAGTGTGTGTCAGTTTTTGTTTCAGTGTAGCAAGGTTGTGCCTGTTGTTTTCTTATGCTAATTTAGTACTGCTGTTTTCGTTGTGTTGTAGCCCTAAGTTCAATGGCAAAATGATTATTGGAGATAATAATGAAGTTTTCTATTTCTGCTGAGTCTAAGTAATCTATTCATTATTTAAATGTCTGTAGTAATACATTGGAAGCCCTTTGGTACTCTTTAAATATGCTGTCTTCCCATGTATACGTTTGCATAAGTTGGGGTACGATTTTTACCCATAGACTGTCCCCTTTAATTTGGGAGGTAAAGTTCACTGTTGAATTCAATGTCATTTTTGTTACTACTAAGTTTAGTAGCAAGGATGTGGTCTGTCAGGTTTGGGAAGTTTTTAAAGATATTCAGACAGCATTTTTTTGCGTTTGTTGATAGAATTTCAAATACTTTAGAAAATTAATGCTATTGGAGGTTGCTATGGTTATTAAGTGGTATGTGTTTTTAGTTGAACTGAGATGCTTTTGTGTTAAGGGGTTCAAATCAATGCATGGAATTTTCCCCTCCCTAGTGTGATGTTAGCAATCATGAGATGGCATTATAGATGAGAATCCAAAAATCAGATTTTCAATTTGGAGAATTTTTTTTCTGATTTTTCTCCCCTAGTCTAAATGAAGATTTCACAATCTTGCCTTTATGCAGGAACTACCTAATTTCCATGTATTTGCATCTCATTAAAGCCTCAACTCATTTTTGAAATAAAAACAGAAATTGCTGGAAAACCCCAGCAGGTCTGACAGCATCTGTGGAGAGAAATCAGAGTTAACTTAATGAGGTAAACAAGCTGTGTATATTTTAAGCAAAATGGCCGTGTCAAAGGGAAGGAGCACTAAGTAGGGTGAAGGGGTCTGGTCATTCGGGGGCAACGCCACAGTCAATCAAAGAGCTTGACTGATAATACTGCAGGAGTTGCCTGTCGTCGGGTGCTTAGTCCTAACAGTCTCGGATCTCTGTCCTTGCAGTAAAGCAGTTGGACTCCAGTCACTCCAGCTGGCCAAGTACAAGTAGCACAGGGATTATGGTTCGGTCCATCAGAGTTATGGAGATGCCATTCCAGGTTTGGGTCATGATTGCCCTGGAAGTTTGGTCAATAATGGTCAGAGCTTATTGGCACAGTCCAGGGAGTCTTGAAAAAAGCAAACCACTCAGTTCTGGGGATGGACATTGTTTTTATTAGACATCTGAGGGAATGGTGAAAGTGC